TAACCTAAAATGTGCAAGTTGCATTGTTTGAATGTTTGGTCTTTGTAGTTTTTGACGTATACTAATATCTGTAGTGATTTGAGCATACTTTGCAATAAGTCTATTTTCTTTTACTTCAAATTCAGTTAAGAGTTGAGTACAATGAGTTGTGCAGTAGGTGAATATCCAAATTTGGAATTGCCAAAGTTGTCATGTTGATCAAGATCAGCAACTGACCATTCAGCACAGAGGGACGCTTAACTGACCAATCGGCTTGAAGGTCATCTGGATTTAAATTCCAATTGACTTCCAATCAGAATTGTAGTCATGTGGATTCGAATCCACAGTTCACCAATCAGCATGAAGAACTACTCAAAACAGAGCTGTTTATGACCAATCAGAATTGAGAATACATGTGTCAGGAGCCATAAAAATACATTTATCACCACTGCGTACAGAGAATGGTTTGATCCACTTACATTGTAGATTATAGGACTTCTGGGTCATCACACTTTGAAGGGAGGGGGGTACTACATAAGTGCCAGGATGTAGAAGCCATATTGTCTGTAATACATGATTTAGGCACTGTGAAAACCACCACTTGGTTGTTGGACTACTTTTGAAAAAAAAAGATCATCGAATGATTTTTTGTTACCAGATGTTGTGATCAGAAAGTATGTAACATATACTCTTCTCAGGGTATTTTTTTTTTCATTTTCTTTCATGATCTCCGAGGTTAATCCTCAAGAGTCCAATACCCAAGATTTTACCTGTGTACAGCATTACTTTGACTTTTTAGAGTAAACAGTTTCCTTACTAAGGGCACGGCAAATTCAGTTCGTTGTTCCACATCATTATCTGCCAGAAATTGCTTTTTTTTTTACAAGTTTTGGTTTCTTCCTTGTCAGCTTTCGTATATTTTTTTGAAGCCATTTCCCACGAACAGATGCAGGGCTCTAGCCAGCACCCCTTTTCTGTCAATAGCAGGAACTTTGTGGCCTGGGTGACATAGTTTTCTACTACGGAGGATGGCACCCAGACTAGTAACTTTGTGGTGTGTGACGGAGAAATTTCTAAATCAATCCGTCAACCCTGATGAAAAATCTGGGGTAAAAATGTAAAAACATCCAAAGGACCACCACCAACAACTCTCAAAGATTGTGAGCACTCTCCCCCCAGGTCCGATCATGAACCAGAGCTGACAGAAAAATATTTTGAGCTGGCTAGATGGCCTGTACGGATGTTGGCTTTAATTTCAGACTCCCTCCTGCATAAATGTGCCTGATACACTCACATGGCCCACTGTAACCCTTTCCCTACAGCCTAACCCCATAACCAGTACAAATTTGGTGCCAAACTGATAACTTAGCAGGCTGAAATCTTGCCGTTCAAACTTCGAGTTGAAAACCCTATTAGAAAATGAAAACTATGCAGAATTATAATGTGAAAAGAAGAGACTTGTGCTTACAAACGATGAGCTGAACTTGTTTTGCCCTGAAACTAAAGAGAAGTGATTTTAGTGAGAGCCAACTTTGTATGTAGAGACAAGCAATATAGATGTACTATATCATATTTTGCCAAGTGTTTATACTTTAACCATAGTTTTTACTGGACTGTAAAGTTACATTATTCAGTGATATTCGCCACACAAATTTTACTGTTCATTTACTGGTCACTTTTCATCTGGAAAAAAATTTGCTTGCAGATGATATTTAATTTACATCATATGATGAGATTTAAAATATTGTGCCTCATGCAGTACCATTCTGTGTTGCCAGGGGGCAATAGCAAGTTGTGGCACTTTGAAAGCAGTTTGTAAGTTACGCCAAAGCAGTTACTCAAGGAACTGGATATGATTTTGGAAAAATTCCAGTTGCTTGACTTGAGTAACTGCTTTTTGGCGTATCTTATTACCTGGATGTCTAACCATCATCGACGCAGTTTGTAAGTTGTTCTGGTTGCACAGCTTTCATGCGTTACTTTTGAGGCAAGGTAACATTAAATCATGTAACGTTACCAAAGAAGAAAAAAAAATAAATGTGCAGTTAAATTTTTGTGGCTGTAATAAACAATACCACACGTATGGTATGTAATGTTATTATTACATTATTATGATGTTTGGACCCACCCACCGATTTTCTACTGATGTAGTTTTGTTTTTCAAGTATTGACAATGAATAAACACCACTTCCAAACAGCAACATGTGCAGATGTGACTTATGTATTCATGTGCTTGTGTAACGTTATGTCTTAAACAGTAACGTTAGAAGTAACTGGTTCTATAAGCCTGTATCTCAGGCTTTTTTTTTTAAATTAGGCATTGCTTATAAGCTGTAATAAACCCCACCTACAACCCCTCCATGCAAATCTTGGTCCCAGGCTTTCCGCGAAAGTACATTAACTCCCAAGTATTGCTGTTTCTATTTTAGACTTTCCAGTGAGGCATAGTCTCCACCAGGCTGCAGGCTAAATGAATAGTAGAAATCAATGCAGGCAAATGACCCTCTATGGCCGGTCAACTCCCATGGCCAGGAGCTACATTCTACTATTTATTAGCCTGCATTAAGAGTATGGTGGAGACTAAGTAAGGCACACAATCCTAGCCTAGGCTACAATGGCATCTTATATAATGATCCCAAGTTCAGCTGCAGTCATGAACTAGCTTGGGTCCCAGGCCTTTCATTGATGCATGTATATAATACCTACAGCCCCCTCCATACACTTTATTAGCCAAGGAAGTTCTTGATAAAACTTGTTATAGCTTGATGTTGCTAAAATTTCCAACAGTTAATTGGTCGCGTTAGCAAAATGCGTAAAAAAAAGCCACACAGAATGTTATGAACAAGGCATTTCTGAACAAGACAACTACAGTATATAAAAGCACAGACAAAGGTCAGACAAGGGTCATGAAAAAGTAGGATCAGAGTTCACCGGCTGGGGTGAATGGCATGTTCCAAACACATTATTTGTAGGGGTCGGCGTAGTATTTTAACAATATTTTGTTCAATAACTTACTTACCCCCATGAAAGTTGGGATATGCATTGATTTATGTATTAAACTATGAATAAATAGAACATATTTAGAACCTAGTTACGTTTGTAGGAAACATTTACAAATTTATTTACAAATTTATTTTTCACTTACTAAAAATTGCACTCCCCTACCAAAATGGTACATCCCGTAAACTTTTCAACCACCTGAAGTGGGAGGGTCGCTCCACAAGCGGTGCCGCATCTGTAGTTTATTTACGTTCGCATGTCGACAGTTTTATAGCAAAGGATATTTCTTTTAGAGGATTTTTTCGTCAGAGATGGCTTGGAGGTTAGCTTGTCACCAGTTCCGCATCCAGTTTTGCCGCCACGCGCAAGTGAAACATGTTTTGCAAGGGACTAAAAAAGTCGAAGTGTCGTCTGCGAACACCGGTCGTCTGATCCAAGATGGCGGCGGCTGCCCTGACAAGTTTGTGTGTGCGCGCGAGGGAGTTGGTGGAGTGTTTTCCCAAGGTCAGACCAGAGGTTTTACGTCAAGATCTCACCCAGGTGTGCAGCAGACGCCCTCAGGTGAGCCCTCACGTCGTCTTACGTAGACGCACAAGGTAAAGGGGAGGGGGGGGGTGCTACGGTCAACCCCCTAAATTTCAGAAAGAGAGTGTCATAAATGTATTATTAGGGGTCCCTGTGCAAAGCTAAATTCATGCGAGAAATGCGCTTTACGTATATTATGTTATACATGTATATCTGAAGCACAGGGGAATATAATATTTATTTGTATAATCATGCCCGAAAGCTAATTGCTTTCTCAGTCAAAGACACTATTCGGTACAATACAATGATAGTAGACAGACAACTACTTGTATATGTGTTGACAGACTATATGAGTTGACAGACAAGCATAATACATTTGTATGTGTTGACAGACAACCATAATATATGTATCATATTTCAGACTATGACAGCAATGAAAAGTTCCATAAGTTTGTAGAAAGCTTGTATTTACATAGAAAAATGTATTTAGTTTTGTTTAACGCCACCTTGTCTTATATGTTACTATAATGTTTTGTCATGTCTTGTAAGCAGGGCAAACCCTTTGTAATAATACAAAGGACAATTATACAGAATATCGGTATAATGTCCTTGCCTACAGCTATATAAGGATAGTCACAATTGCACAAATAACCTTGAGTGTGCATGCCTAGTGCCCCCAAGTGGTAAACAAATAGCATCGTAGGATCCCATAGCCCCGTCAAAACGTACAAATGCAATTTATATAGAAACATAGAAAATGTAATATTTGACACAACTTGTCATGAAAGTTCATCTGTGTTGGCACTTGGCAGACCTATATACATGTTGAAAGTTAAAACTTTTTCTCGCCTAGAGCTTTCGACTAGTAACTATGGTCTTCCACAGCAGACTGACCCTGAGGCTTGTCAGGTGGCTTATCATTTGTGTATTAACTAGTATCATTTGACTTGACTTGTATGTTGTAGAATATAGTATAATGCTAGATGTAGATAAAGTCTCACATACCACTGTATTTTCTTTCTTATGTTGTTTGTAACTGCAATTAGCCCTCGGACAAGTATTTGCAATAAACTTTCTATTAACCTCCTTATGCCCTGTGTGAGGCAGCTTATGATGAGGCCTTCAGGAGAGCCAGGGACCAACCAGAAGAGTTCTGGGGGGAGCAGGCTGAGAACATTGTGTGGACTCGGCGCTGGGACAGAGTGTTGGACGCCACAGACCCTGTTCATCCTAAATGGTAGGAAACATGGATACTGGTGCTGATGCCTAGGAAAAAAAAATGTTGTGTTGGCCGATGGACCCTAGAAAAAACTACGGACCCTATAGCTAGCCTTGCCTTTTTTTTGGGTGGACCACTGCAAGGGAGATAAATTTTTCTAGCTGACCGACCTTTTCTACCTCCATGATCTGACACATGGCTGATGAAGCATTGTACAAATTAAGGTTTTCCAGCATTGACATTGGAAATACCCCCCCATGCATGTTTTACTTCGTTAAGCTGTATCGTATGGTTGTTGGATCACTAGTAAGAGATTGCCAAAGACTAATGAAAAAGAAAGAAAAAAATCCCTACTAAATATTTTCAGGACTGAAACAGAAAACAACAACATTTTTTTCCCTAGGCCATACTTCATGCATTGTGTGAAATGGCATATATATATATGTTTATCTAATATCTTTCAATCACTTTGTCTCTGCTCACAGCTAAAGAGGCAAACGAGATGACTCTTCCCTGAACTTGACATTCCCTGTGTGTTGTACCCCAGGTTCCCAGGTGGTGAGCTGAACGTGTGTTACAATGCTGTGGACAGACACGTGGACGCAGGATTCGGCGATCACACCGCCATAATCTACGATAGTCCTGTCACCAACACTGTACAGCACATGTCCTACAGACAGTTTCAGGATCAGGTAGGTCTGTGGGACCAGGGGTTTGGGGTTCGAATCCTTGTAACGACAGTGTAGGACCGGTGGTCCGGGGTTCGAATCTTTGTAAAGATAGTCCTGTCACCAACACTGTACAGCACATGTCCTACAGACAGTTTCAGGAACAGGTGGGTTATATGTAGCCTGGTTACCAAACCTATTATAGCTCCCGAGTCCTACACTCCTCTCCGCTAATTATGGTAGGACTCGGGAGCTATAATAGGTTTGGTAACCAGGCTAGGTTATATGTGTATTACATGCGTGTTACATGTGTGTTAGATGTGTATTAGATGTGTGTTACATGCGTGTTACATGTGTGTTACATAGGATTCTTTATTGACACAACAAAAACGTACAGGGACATTTGTATGGTCTTGTACAACTAAAGATCTAACAAAGTTAAATACATGTATGGATAACTTCATCCTATGTACAGAATACATGTATATGTATGCGGCAAATTAATACAGAATATTACACGTGTGTCATCCCAGGTGTCGAGGTTTGCAGGGTTCCTGAGTAAGGATGGAGTACAGAAGGGCGATCGGATGCTGATCTACATGCCTGTAACATGTGTGTTATATGTGTGTTACATGTGTGTTACATGCATGCGAGATGTGCACTACATGTGTGTTACATGTGTCACATGTGTGTCACATGTGGGTTACATGTGTGTTATGTGTTATCCCAGGTGTCGAGGTTTGCAGGGGTGCTGAGTAAGCATGGAGTACAGAAGGGCGACCGTGTGCTGATATACATGCCGATGACCCCGCATGCCATGGTGGCCATGTTGGCCTCGGCCAGACTCGGAGCTATCCATTCCCTGGTGTTCGGGGGGTTCGGAGGGAAGGAACTCGCAACCAGAGTGGGGCATGCCAAGGTCAGGCTTCAATGTCATTTCTACTTGTTTGATGAATCTTTGATGAACATTTTGGCCCTGGATCAGTCTGGAGCATTCATGATTGTCATTTGAAACCGCAGTCAAACCTTTTGGTGTCCAGCCTTGTGTAATATCCACCTGGCCATTGTATTGAGGCCACTATTGGTCTCTTAGATATTTATGTTCCCTCTCGACTCTAGCATAAGAATCCAGGTACATTTCATTCATTTATTCATTCCTGGTAGCGTATTTTTTAGGAACAAACAAAACCTGACACCTTGGTAAATTAAGGTTAGCCATCCAGGTAACAAGATAGGCTAAAACAGTTACTCAAGCAACTGGATGTGATTTTGGAAAAGGTCAGACGTTTCAGGTAGAATGCACTACCTTTCATCAGTGACACTGGGGAGTTGTCATCAGAAAGCAGGATTATATAAAATATGAACTATTGATTCATATGCAAATAAGTGAAGTCCAAAAGCAAACCTGACACCCTCGACCTTGCCTGTCCCCAGCCCAAGGTGATCGTGACGGCGTCCTGTGGAGTGGAGCCCTCCCGCATCGTGCAGTACCAGCCCATGGTACAGGAGGCGCTGCTGCTCAGTGGCCACCAGCCTGCAAAAGTCATCCTCTACAACAGGCCCACGGTCAGGACCT